CAATCCCGTTGAGTCTTCCACTTAAATTATCTAATTAATTTTTTTGGTTTGTTGGTTGACAGAGATAATATTACTCGTATTATTCTTCGAAGTACTACTCGCATATTCAAGCTAACCTAATGCATATATTCCTCTGGAATTAGGATTAACAAGAACGCGTTAATAATTTTCGTATAATAACCAAGCAAGGTGATTAGATACATCTCTATCCTAACCGCAAATTCGTCCCGATGCTGAGCTTAAACATCTTGCTCTACTCAATCTTATATGCAATCTAGAATTCCCTCTCCCGAGTTCAATTATAGGTTCGTAGATAGTATTCAATTGTTGTTGTTGCAATCAAATAATTAAGCGCAAGATTGAATAAATAAACCAATACGATAAATTAACAAGAACAATTCAAGCTTCAAACCACAACGTTCATGTAGCATCACACAACTCTAGAACCAATAAACTATGAGATTAAAGAAAGAGAAGAGAAGAAAAACTAATTAGAAGCCTCCTCCAAACGTGGGTTGTATTCCCCAATGTGAATTATCCTTCAAAGTGGCGTCCTCCCCTTAAAAATTAGGTTTATAACCCTTTTTTATACAAGTTAGGGGCGTCTAGGACCCAAAAAGATCTTCTCCAAGACAAAATAGGATAATTCCTGAGATTGGGCACCCTAGGCAGCACGTCGCGCTAGCCTTGGCGCTAAAAATTTTGGTCTTCTGTTTCTAGCGCCACAGGTAACACGCCGCGCTACCCTGGACCCTAGAATTCGGCACTTGTCCATTTTCTTCTTCTTCCTTTTTTTTTTTTGCTCCAACTCATGCGCATTCAATCAATTTCACTCCCAATTGATTCCTACACATATAAACACCAAAAGTTAGCTCGACTCATTGCAATTATACATTAGAACCAACAAGAATAAAGCAAAATGTCAGGTGATTCATATATAAAATACATACTTTTGGCCAAACATCAAAAATCAACCTTGGTCGATAAGAATTATTTATAAGGCTAAAGCAAATGAGGAGAAAACGAATGAACCGCAACAAGTTCCTTTAAATAATAAAAATAGAAGCTAAGCTCATGCTTTCATCGTTCCCTTTAGTGTTCTTTTTAACTTCTTTGCCTAGTAAATTTTTATTTCTTAATAGTCTCAAGAAATGCTTATTCTAATAAATAAGGTTTACTTCTTTTCGTCCTCTAAGGTTTAATCATTACTATTTCTATTTTTTTATATATATTAATGAGATTGTAAACAGTGTTTTCAAAGGCGTTTTTATTTAGCAGAGTCTCGGGTTGAGCCCCGAGGTAAAGCGGACTAATAATTCTCCGAGACGGGCTCCCGAAGCATGAGTAGCATCGGACGCCAACCTTTCATGCGTTTGCTTTAGTGTAAGTCTCAATCTTCTGAGCATTCATTTAGGGCATGTGTCTTTTTTTATTATTTAAATACTCAAAAGTTAGCTCAATTAAATTTTCAAATAAAAAAAAGTCAAAAGTCAAAGGCCCGTTTTAATTGTTAATCCTAGCTAATTTCATAATCCTTTCTCTTTGTTGTTTATTGGGTAACTAAACACTATTTAGATTTTTATTTGCAAAGTGCAAACTGCAAAATTGGAGCTTTGTCGCCTAACACTAGCTCAGTTTCAACGCTTGCGGCTTCCTTCTTTAGGTTTCATAATTCTTCAAGTCTTTTTTCTGTTCTTATTTAACTCTTTTCAAGTTAATTTTTGGTATTGAAATTCCTTTGGATATCACTCTAATTTAGACATTCTTCTAGAGATTTTATTCCAGAAAAATGTTCTATTTGTGTTATATAAGTATTTGTAAATTGCGATTTGTTTTCCTTTTATGTTTTCAAATAATAACTTTATATTATTGTTTTTTTTTTTTTTTGAATTAGTGAATCTATCATTTTTATGACTCTAAATATATTAGGTCACAACTATGCTATAGGCGTGTAATACGTATTTTCGTTTTTCATTAAGTACGAATTGTTTTTCTTTGTAATGATGGTACATGTTAATAGTATATGGTTTTAACGAGTGTTTTCAATGGGCATATATATGTGTGTGTGAAGAATAGCCTATTAGACACTTGTATTTATTTCGATTTGTTATCCCGATCCCTGTACTTCACAAAATTTTATCTAAATACTTCTACTTGATCAAAACGAGTGTTTCAAACTTTCCAACACTATGTGTCTCTCAATTGTGTTATGTCATAATCCACATCAGATAAAAATATGCCACGTAATTTTTTTATTTTTACAAAAAACGTAAAATAAACTTAACTTACCCTTTTTTCCTTTTTTGACTGTTTATTTATTTTTCTTTCCTTCCCAATCATCACTTTCTTCATACTGCCCACCATATTCCGCATTGTTATCGCCGAAAAATTTCTCCGACCACCATGAAACTCCTTTCTTCTGTTCCTTTTCTATTTCATTATCTATTCCTCTATTTTTTTAAAAAAAAATATCTCTCTAAATAGATATGAGATTATATTTTAGCCAGAAAACATCTGTCAAATAAAGATAAACAAATCCAAATTTTTTCTCTCTTTCTTGCCTTCACTCTCACCCAAAACCCCATAAAACCTACCAAAGCAATAAAAAGAACTTCATATTGTCCTTCAAAAAATCATAATGTTGGCCGAAAAATATTTCATGACAGCGGATGAAGAACCTCAATTTTGATGGCTGTGGACGACAGTTAAAAATGGAGGATGAGGAAGAGGAAGAGGAGGAGACTAGTAGGGTATTTAAAAGTGAATTAGTGAAGCATTTGAATTTTGATAATTTTGTTTGATATCAAAGCCTAGTATAGAGGGGGCAGAATCAAGGGGTTTGACCGGAAATAAATGGGGAAGAAAACGGATAGGAAGAGGGGAACGGGGGGTTGCGGAAGGGGTTATGACGAGAAGAGTTTGGGAAAGGGTTGCAGATGTGGAAGGGGTTGGGTCTTTAGGATTTTTTGAATTGTTTTTCTGTTTATTTTTATTGTTTCTTTTTCTTATGATTTTTTTAATAATTTTTTTAATCTCAATAATTGATGCACGCGTTTTAAGAGTGTGCAACCACGTAATTATCTGACTTGGCAAAACAAATGTCATATAAGCTTGGTTAACTGTCACAGGATTTAAAATATAAGTTTTGATAAATTAAAAGTGTCTAGATGAAACTTTATAAAGTATAGGGCCGGGATGACAAACCGGAATAAATACAAGTGTCTAATAGGCTATTCCGCTTATATATATGAGTTAATACCCTAAAACCCCCTTAAACTATTATATTTTTGTCAGTTTTCTACTTAACCTATTCGGTATTCCCAAAACTCCCTTGAGCTATATTGCCTTTCATATTAAAAATCACTCATTATTGACATGGCATAACGTGTATAAATACTTGTTTGGGAGCGCGTGACAACTGAACAAAGCCATCAAAATGGCCCAACATAATGGCTAATTAGCCTAACCTCTTGCAAATATATTTATTTTTAATAAATATTCTCCTTATTTCGGTTATATCCACCTTTTTTCTCTTTTTTTTTTTTTACCATTTTTCCTTTTTTTCACCTTTCTTCTTCATTTTTTTTTAACCTTTTTTTAGTTCTCCATATAGGTTTCCTCTAGGAAAAATTCTCCCTCTCTTGTTTCCTCTAAAATAACTTATTCTCTTTTTTGTTTTAGTCTTCTTTCATGTCTTACATACATTATTGAAAGAATACTAATTTAAATCTTCTTATTAAACTCTACACCTTGTAGAGAATAAAGCTGAATCTCTTGAACCTTCTTTGTGTAATGTGAAATTAGAGAATGTTATTGTTGGTCGGTAGAATTTTTATTTGTGAAGTTTTATTTTGTATAATCTTTTGTATGTAATATAAGATGGATTTTAAGAAATGCAACACTATATCTTTATTTATATTTTTAATGTTCTACAAAGTGAATATCAATAAGGATTTATTAGATTGGAGTCTAGCATAAAAGCACAATCATAAGTAAACCTAAAATTAATACATTACATTAGATAGTATTTTGGCCAAAACTCCTAGAATTAATCAGTCATCCGGGACTCGGGAGTAATACGCCATGAGTAAACTATACAAAAAAATTTGTACAAATCATAAGTTAATATAGTTAGACAGATGCACCTTTAAAAGTCCAATATGGAGTTTTAATATTTAGAAAAATATAATCCAGGAGGATTTTGTGGACACCAGAAAATAGTAGGTAACTAACAAAAAGTGATAGTTTAGGCGGGTTTTAGGCTGAGTTAAATAGCCAGGTGTAGTGCTACATGATATATTTTTTCAGATAATTAGGAGCGTATACTAGAAGCACTTTCAAGAATGCAATGAGGGGTTTTTAATATGAAGGGCAATGTAGTTCAGGTGTAATTTTGGGAACACCAAATAGTTTAAGTAGGAAACTGAGAAAAAACATGATATATATATATATATATATATATNAACTAATAATCCAGGGTGTAACCTCATCCCATGTTAGGTGAAACACCTCGCATCACGCCCGCGCATTTTAAAATACTGGTTGCATATATGAAAATTATTTTTTAAAATAAGTTGTGTAAAGTAAGTTTTGTAATTTTCATGACGCGCTCACATACTTTTTTCCTTAATTATGTGGAAAATGCGATCATTAGGTAAAAAATAATAATGACCAAAGTCAAAATAGTTTATACTAGGTTGATAGAATCTAATTCTAAAATTCTTTAATATTTTGAATCCTCTGTAGTCCGGAGTACGATGATATTTGAAGGGCTTCTCTCTTCTGTTCAAAAGATGAAGGGGCATTGTTTTTCTTCAATTTGCAATGTGATTGTAGATGTTCTCACTTATGTTCAGGTCGAACCTAGAATTCAATAAACCATAATTTGGCTTGTCTCCCTGTATGTGGTATATGCAATGACCTCTCTTGGCGATTACTTCATATAGTTGTGACTTGTACTTTAAAACATTATAGTACTAACAAAAATAGCATGTCATATGTGGTGGAAACTGGGAACTAGGATACTGCACCTACTATATTGAATACTCAGGTAAAAAAAAAAAAAGAAAAAAAAAAGATGATTCACTTGGCTATCAAGATTAAAGGACATGATGTGTACTTTCTCAGACAAATACCATATTGAATATGAAAATTGGCAACAAATTTAAATAAATAGACCTGTTTAAAAAAAAAAAACAGAGAGCTGCTGAGCGAGTCCAAGAGTAGTGCACGGACACACACTAGATCAAAACAAGTTTAGCTGGTCCAATGGCACAGACACCTACTAGGATGATGAGGCGTGATTGAGCTGCTCAATCAAACACCTCTTTGGAAGCTCAATATGTAAGACCGGGGATTAAAATAAAAAGAATTAAGAAAAATTAGCAGGCAAGAAGAATCTCTGCCTCTTACTTTTGATGTGATAATTGGATGTAGAAGGGGAAATAGCAATTCTACTAAGAGAGTGTTTAAGTGAATTCAAGCAAACACCATTAACGGACTTAAGCACGAAAACGCACTTAATTCTGCCGCCCAAACTAGTTATATTAGCCTCCTCAGTTGTTAGTTTGAGGTTGTTAAGTGCCCTGTTTAGCTCTGAGAACAAATCAGGTCGATCATCACAACATAGACAAACCTTGAGAATTATACTATTGCTTGAATTTTCATCCTCATCTAAATGCTCAATTATTACTTCATCAATGTCAGTTGGAGTGTTCACTACCTTGCTGATTTCCTTTGCTCTTCCTTTTAAATCTTTAACGTGCTCAACTACACTTCTAAGTAGAGCTGCCTTATCCATCTGCAAGTTAAATGATTTGGCAAATCATAGAAAAAGCATTTGGTACATGGAAGAAATATTACCCATGTTATTGTTTAGTATGTCTGATATGATAGGAAGTTATTTACTATGAAAAATATATAGTTGGAGCATTGGCGGAGCCAAGTATTTATATTAAGGCGATTCAAATAAATCATAGCTGAGATTTGTACTTGTGATCTACGCAACTTTTGAACCACTGAGCTAGAATGGGATTCAACAGTTAATATATTAACCAAAAAGTTTGTTCTTACCCTATTTGCACAGTTCCCTCTTACTAGCTCCACCCCTAAATTGGAGCAAGTAATTAATATGAAGTTAAATTAAGATAACGTATAAAGAAAATGACTCCGTCCATTAGTGAGAAAATTCATTTTCCTTCTACTGATTGAAAACATTTTCCTTTCTCTAGTAACCAAACATCAATGGCCTTCATATATTGTTTAGACAAAATAAAAGCTTACCTTTTCAGAGCTGGGAATGAGTTTTCTAAGAGTGGAAAGCTGAGCATTAATTCTGTCTCTGCGTCTTTTCTCAGCTTCACTATGGCTCCTAGAAGCACTTGCACTTGTATCTTCTTCAAACTGTTGGGACCAATAACAAGGGTTTTCATAAAGTTGAAAGGAGGTATCATCACAAGAATTTGGAACCAATGGAAGTACAAAAGGTGAAGCAGCAGCAACTTCTTGGAAATGATGAAAATGAGTTTCAGTTTCAGTCTCAGGCCAATATTCAGAACATGAGGAATTATCCATCATGTCCTATGTTCTAATTATTTCCTTTTCTCTCTCAATGATCTTGGCACATCTTGTGTTTTAATTTAAAGAACCATAAAAGGAGATTTTGGTGTCACTGTTTATGCACTAGTAGGAGTCCGGAACCAAAATGTGGTTCTTTTGGACAAGTAGCACCTTAATAGGTGTAAAAAAAAGATGACATTTTTATATATAGCGCCCAAATACTAGGCGCTATATATTAACGTTAACTGTGCCGTTAATGTATAGCGCCTAGTATTTGGGCGCTATACATAGAAAGTTGATACTAACAGGTATAGCGCCCAAATACCCGGCGCTATACCTTTTTTTTTAAAAACGAGTCGTCTTCTTCAAGACGACCATTCTGCTTCTTCTTCCTTAATATTTTATATCTTCTTCTTCTTGGTTCTCCACTCTCATACCCGCTGCCCCACTATTTTAAAAAAAAAAAATGGGTGTCCGTCACATAAAAGGTGAAGAACGTAGGTCCCACATTCGAGTAGAGCTTCGTATTATTGTTGATTCACACTTCCGAAGTCAAAATTTCAATCTATTTGCTTTCCGAAAATTTTAAATCGAGGTATTTCGGTTTATTTTAAGTTGAAACTTTTATAATAATGCATATTATTTGATTTGTATGTGTTCTATTTCGGTTTGTGTTTTTTTCGAAACTAGTATGTTAAATTTATCCCGAGTTAATATTAGTGTTTTATGAAAAAAATATAAATTTGTCAAATAAATTTGTCTGTTAATATCCTGATTTATATATATGTGTTTTCATGTCGTTTTGTATTTTATTTGCAATTATCTACTCAGATTGACTATCTACTCCTCAGGAGATGCGACAGAAGGTTGTGCGAGGACTGCAAGGTTATCCCAGGTGAGACCCTCTCAACGCAGCATAGGCTTTTGGTGATGGACATTTGTATTAGGATAAGGAGGAAGAAGAGGTCAGTACAAGGACGCCCCAGGACTAGGTGGGACGCCTTAACTAAGGATAAAAGCTAAAGAGTTGGAAGGAAGGTTATCGGCAATGGGAGCTTGGAGAAGTGGTGGGGACGCA